CAAGTCTAAAGGTTCAGGGTGTAAGGTTTAGGGTTTGGGAGCTTATGTATAGAGTTTAATTTAAGGTGTATAAACGGTTTAGGGTTAGGGTGTAGGGTCTTGGGGTGTGTGTGTGTGTGTGTAAACTCATCCGCAGTAGCACTGGAGGCCCTGCGGGCAGGCGACTCGGGGCAAGTCAGCCAACTTATATGTTCTAAAGACCAAAAACGTCGCAACGGCCCCACAACACAAGAGGGCGCAAGGGCTACGGCGAGCACCAAGACGCACTTTCTTGGTTGACAGTTGCGGAATCTCGGTATGCAGAGTGGAGACAGGAGCGGACGCTTATGGTCCATCACCATTCCAGAACAAGCGGGCTCGGACGTCGATATCCTTGGCAAACCTTAGAACCAAGACGAACAGGCTGGAAGAAGGCGGGCAAGCCAGAATCGCCTTAGCTTCTTCGGAAACTAACTCCCGATCTTCTTGACGCCGAAGTGTAGCCAACTGCTGCCACCAGCCTTCAAAGGTGGCACATCGGCAGAGGACGTGAGGGAGCCCAGTCCTCACTCGCTTACTGCAAAAGATGCAGTTCTGAATGCTGGCCCGGCTCAAACGGCCATCCACATGCGTAAGGCGAATGATGCCAGCACGCAACCTGCAAAACGATCGAACCGCCTGTCTGTCCTCCCACCCCAGCACCAGGTTAGGAACAAGATGCAGGAGGTTGCTGTGTTGAGGCTGCACTTCTAGGTACAAAGGCAGTCTGGCGTGACGCTGCGCCACTTCCCTCCAGCTTGGTAGCCCCAGATCACGACAGCGTTGTCGAACGTACAGGCGGTACTGCTGTAAGTTACCTCCCTGATTCCAGGCCGGGAAATCTAGAATGCCAAACTTTGATAAAAATGCCGAGCTTCGAGAGGCCCAAGAGTTCGGCCATGCATGAGCAAGCCGAAAAACTTGAGCGTAGAGATCCTCGGTAGGCAAGGTCCACAGGCGGGCCCTGCGCATGGCCGCGGCCATTACGGCAAGAAGATGGCCGGAGATATCCCAGCCTAATTCGGAAAGGAGGAGCGAAGCATTGTGCCAACAAGAGGCTCCCAACAGCTGTCTTGCCCAGGAGACCAAAAGGTCGTCCAAAATTTCATTCGCTGAATCTGCGGTTCCATTGAGCCAGAGGCCAACAGAAAGAGAAGCAAAAACCCTCGCCCAGAAAATGGAGCAGATGAGATGCAATGGAAGAATATCACGCTGAGCTAACCCTACCAAGAGGGCGAAGGATTTCTGAGCAATGGCAACCCGTACCTTCAGGGCCGAATCGAACTCGAGGTTCGCGGGCCAAAGGATGCCGAGCCACTTGTGGCTACTCTTGAAACCCAAGGTCCGATCAGGTTGAATTCCCAGTCCTGGAAGCACTAAAGGCTCAGTAGCCTGGAGTTCCTCCGCGCTTTTGCCTGTAACCATCGTTACAGTCTTCTTCTCGCCGACGTGGAAAGCAGCTTTATGACGGAAAGCCCAGCGCGCGAGCAGGTTTAAACTCTGTTGAAGGGCTCCCCTGCTGCAGCCAAGAAGCACCGGATCGTCTGCGTGCAAAATTGCTGCAATTCTCCAAGGGGCAGAATCGTTCAATGCCTGGAGAGCAGAGGCCTCAAGATCCGGGTCGTCATCTAAGAGGGCAATTGATGGCAGAAGGGCACTGTCCCCATGCTGAAGGACGCCCTTGAGCATGGAAACAAGAGCAGGATTATGGTTACCATGACCAGACCAGACACGTCCCTGCCACACCGGCGGAATGTGCCAACCAACGCCGAGACCGCCACCTTCCGCCAGGATTTCGCGAACCAGAGAGTCTAAGAAAACTGGATAGCCAAAGGGTCCGATGCAGCCTCCCTCTGGAATACCGCTAGTTATGATAGTATCGCTGAAGCCGCTGTACCAAACAACAACGTGGTCCTCCTTCAAGATGTCACCTAAGAGGCCCAAGCAGTGGCCATTTACGTGTGGCCCATCAGCTAAGGCACAGAGCAAGTCATGGCGACAGACTCGAGGGAAGGCTTTTTGGAAGTCCCCCAAAACAAACCAAAGAGGCCGATGTTGATGCAAAGCTTCGGCACTTACTTCGTGTAGAAGGAGATGGGCATCATCGACACCACGGATGTACCCGCTTTGGCAAGGTTGGATGAACCGACGAGTTGCAGTCAGCCAGCGTTGTGTAAGGAGTGCCTCCTGCATAAGCCCAAGTTGCACCTTCACAAAGATGAGTCTGAAGCTGGAAGCAAGGCATGCAGGCCCAGCTTTGTGAACAGGGCAAAGTGCCGCTTGGCGCCACAGTGAGGGGCGGAAAGCTGCACCTCCCGGTCCCGTCCATCGCTGTAAGGCCCACACCACAGAGTTCCAGCCTACAGAGTTGGCCATGAAGAGGGCACGGGGGAGGAGGTCAGGAGGCATGCCCTTCGATGTTGACCAAGCATTTCTGATGTCAACCACTTCGCGCTCAGTAACGGAGAAGTCTTTGGAGTCACCGGAAGGCTGTCGCAAGGCAGCTGCGCAAAGTTGTTGGCAACGAGCCACTGTTTGAAGGTGAAGTTGTTCATCAAACGCTTCTGGCCACGAGCACTGAGAGCGAAGCGCTTTAACCCACTCTTGGTTAGATTCTGCTTCGGAAAGGATGCGTGGGCCACTGTGCAGCCGAGGGAGAGGTTGAGGAACAGGGTCACGAAGAAGCTTAAAACAAGAGTTTAGCAGCGCAGCACAGTCAGTTTCTTTGGAAACCTGTGCTATCAAAGAATTGGTGTCGTCAGAAAGCTCGTGCAGAACAGCTTCTGCCAGATTAGGGCGCGCTACCATCTCTCGAGATGTAGTACCAGGTCCTGCCCTTAACCAAACATCCCGAACTAGCCCACCGATAGTGTTTGTAAGTGCAGCAGCAGCCTCAATGCCCCACACGTGCTTCTTGCGTGAAGCCAGCGAGCAAGTTGGAAGACAAAGCTCATCTGCTGCCAAATGGGCAATGCTGCTGAGGCTTTGCAGGACAGGCTCTGCAGGCCGAAGAGCTGCAGCCCACTTCGTCGCGTCATGCCACTTCCCTGGAAAAGCTGGCCCAGCTGGTCCCAAGGACCTACTAGGCTGCACGTGAACATCAACTTGAATGAGAAAGTGATCTCCCCTGCAAGTTTCTTGGCAATGTTCTAAGGGACACCACTTGCTGCAGTGAAGTCCGTTGTGAATTGAGACATCAACAACCAAGCTCGGGGAGCAGAAAACAAGATCAATTGCACGTCCTACTCCAATCCCATGACGCGTGGAAGCCTCACGAATGTGAACTCTTCTACCTCGCAGTGGGAGCTCAACAGAACAAACTGTTTGGTCGGCAAGGGGAGGGTTTTGAAGAAGCAGACCATGAAGGCGACAAAACTTCTCCCATGCAACTTGTCGCTTTCTGGAAGGCTCCCTGCCCCCGCCTAGCTCGTCAGGTTGAACGTTCATGTCACCTGTGCCCAAAACCAGGAGTGAACTCGGAGACTCCGCTTGTTCAAGCAAGAAGGAAATGTCATCAGAAAGACCTTGTAGCTCCGCAACCCAATCCGAATCTCTATCGTTGGCAGAGGTCGGCATGGTGAGAATTACCCAGTGCAAAACCGAATCATTGCCAAGTTGAAAATCAACCCAGATGCGTCTGTCACTGCCCACGTCGCTGCGAACGGTAGAAGTGAACATAACACGCTCGCTCCTGAGAACGGCAGTGCTTGCATAGCTGCGACCACCCTTGCTGAAGATATGCATACCAAGCCTCCGGGGAGCAACGACTGCATCAGGCAATCGAGGCGCAGACAGGCCGACAGCATCAAGGGCCAAGGCACTGACTGCTGACTTCAAACCCCACTCCTCATTTATCAATGGATCCCAACGAACTCGTGAACCAGCAATGTCCGAGCAGCCCTGGACGCCAGGATTTGCAAGCCCAAGACGCAGTACAGGCTCTGGCACACTGTCTGTGGCAGATTCGGGTGAATGAGGCACGACAGTGTCCAGAACCCAGGTCACAGCACGAGTAGCCACACGCAACCCGTCTTGCAGAGAGATCATCCAAGGGACGTGTCTGTTGCTTTGCGAATGAAAACTGCCCAAAAGGGTCCACATCTTGTCGCGCAAATTTGTCCACACTGCCCTCTGTATCAGAATCACTCTGCTATGCAGTCGGGTAGCTCTGGCATTCTGGACGTGGCTTCTGCAAGTTTGGAAAAAATCTTGCAGCTCGTTGCCCAAATCCATGGGTAAGCACAGAAACAATAACTTGAGAACCAGCGCAGCTGCCCGGGATTGCAAGTCAAGTCAATCACCCCCTAAAAAGTACAGCTTCAGAGGCTTCAGGAGCAGAGTGCCTTCCGATAAACGGGGGAAAAAAAAACGAACAGAACACCGCAAGGCAACAAGAGGGCAGAAGCAAGAGCCGAAGCAGACGAAGCAGCAGCAGCAGCAGCAGCAGCAGCAGCAGCAGAAGCAGCAGCAGCAGCAGCAGCAGCAGCAGCAGCAGCAGCAGCAGCAGCAACGGCAGCCGCAACGGCAGCAACAAGGGA